ACGATATTTGTTTATGAGCCTACTGTATATGATCAAGCATGACAACTTCTTTGCGTCTTTCTGGTAATGGTAAGAGAACCACATGTATCGTTACATTACTTCTTCTCATCGTAACTTCGTGTTGTGCATTTAATATTCTCGTTTTAGTATAGGAAAAAAATACTCTTCATCAATATTTCACTAACTATAGAAGTTACTTTGTACTCTTGGGCTCACAGCTTATTTTTTATATTCCTAGTAACAGTAATCAGGTTTATCTGGTTGCCATTACACACTGGATATATGGTTGGCAATAATTAAAATTTTTCAGAGGTTCGAGTATGTAATTTGGCTTATTTTGAATCCAAGTTATGCAGTTTGATGCGTATAAGGCTTCAATTTAAGTCTTGGCAATAAGAACGAAATTTTGGATCTATGGATGTGTTATATTGACAAAAATAGATGCAGACCACCCATCAAATATGTGATGTGTTAATAAATACAAACCTAAACATTTTCCCACCTTTCCCACCTTTTATCTTTACTCTTTTTTAGTGAAGGCTAACATTTTGGTTAGCTAACCTATAGACATATAATAAAATAGACTGAGAAATTGCAATACAGCGTCGTTCCCCAGTGTGACAGAGAAAACTGACGCAAAGCAGTCCCTACATCTCTTTCCAATGAGCCGGATTTTTTCACCAAGTGACCTAAATGACCAATGGGAAGGCCCATCATCATCAACATCAATCCCATTCATCGTCAGATGTAAGCCTAACTTAGGTGTGTCCTTGCATTTTTGTTTGTTGTTTCTTTCATCCATTCCTGACTACCCATTAGCTTGATATTATCAGTCCATCTGGTTTGAGTCTATCTCTACTTCTCTTGTTTGCTCTTGGTTGCCATTTTGCTCAACCTTTTCGTATTATTATTATCCAGAGTTATATCCTCAGTTATATCTAGAGATCCTTCTTCCTTCTTCTTCTAATTCCTATCCGTTTCGGATGTTGGAAATCATATTGGCAATCATAACCTTGCTCGCTGCGGCTCGAAACAGCTCCGTTGAGGTTTTTAACAAATGGATCTAGAGATCCATTTGTTAGATATTTAATTTTTACTAGATTTATTTTTAGTCCTATTTCTTTTGATTTTGTATTTAGGTCTAATAGCATTACCTGCAATTCTTCTCTGTCTTTTGCTATTAACGCAACATCATTGGCAAATCTCAAATGATTCAGGTCACTCCTTTTTATTTCCCCATTCTAAAGTTCGGAACATATCTTCTAGGGAAGGTTACGTGGTCGATAAACCCAGCCCATTATAAAAAGATGCAGGGACTGCTTTCCGTCAGTGTTCGCTGTCGCACTGGGAAAATGGTAAAGTATTTCAACGATCAGTCTATTCCTATTACGTGCCTATGAGCTAACCTATGTTAATTTTTAATAAATTCTTAACCCTCTTAGCTGTTGCAGTGCTTTAAACCAGATTGATATAATGTCGGTTAGCTGACCACTTTTTTTCTTCTGTTGTCTTGTAAAACTTGCCTGTTTGAATAAAATCTAAATCACACTCGGATGGCATTCCTATTTTTCTTTCGCCCAATGTATCATTTATAATGTAGTCAACCGGTGTTTCTTTATTTGGCTTTGACGGACCACCACCTGTTGCTGAACAGTACTATTTATCCTTTGCATGGTTACGTACTGCAGCTTTTTTTTCTTTAATTTGTCCACTTCTTCAGAACTTTTGCTGAACGTGGTATTCCAGCAGTAGATTTTGCGTTAAATTTATTGGCACGCCAATGACAGAACTTTTGCTTATTGATTATCACTTCTGTTTCTTTGCATTCAATACTTTTCTGTGGCCATTCGCCTGCTCTATCAATAAAGTAACTTCATTAAACGTTCGTTTGTTCGTTCATACTGAATACAAAATACACGGTATAATGTATTTAACGAGCTAAAGTATTTCGCACGATGAAAACAAAATAACCTAACCTCTTTTCTGTTACGCAACATTCTGAATAATGCATTCACTGTACCTATGCCCAAGCATAGCCTAAATTCGCAGTTTAACCCATCTTACGAGTATCGGTTATAACCTTGGTCAAAGTAAGCGGGTTTAAACGCTAACCTAGTACTGAAAAACTGATTTAGCATAAATATTTTGGTGACCGAAAATTTAATATATTAACCCAACACTGAAAAACCAGCCTTAAGTGATCTAGTACCCCGGGCAACACTAGTGTACCATCTAAACCTTTGTTTGTGCCTATCTAATACGACAGAAATTTCAACTATGATATTGTCTAGTATGTATGACAACTTTTGCAAGTGCCGTTTAAAATAGGCAGTAGCAAAGGATTTTTGTTCCAGACATAAATGGGGGTTATAGATTTTGAGTAGTTTATTACGATTTACAGCATCATCTAGGAATATAATTTTGCGGTGTTGCCAAATCTAAATAAAAGACAACTTTAGAAACCTAATAGATTTTGTTAAATAAAATCAACTTTACCAATATCAAAGAGGAAACTGGGGAAAATTAGGAATTCAAAAAACAAAAAGCCAATTTGCTGAATGTTATTTTCCCTATTCCTGTTGTTACGGATCCTAATATTTCCAAACTGTTGTTCTTTGAAAGAAAAATAACTCTATGACTGTATAGATTCCAATACATTTGTATGTGGTCCTTCGTCGTTTATCGCGAAAATTTGCAATTTTTAAACTTATTATTTAAAAAATCTATCTATAAGTGAGCCGGAAGATTCCATCTCGTGTCATACTGCTCATCCATAGGTCATCCAATACTACGTTAAACTTTTGTTTTCTGTCTAGGGTTTTTATAAGAAAACTATTTCTTCCCTCATAAAATTTTGATTTTAGAAGATTATGGTACAATAAAAGCCAAACTAATTAAAAATAATTGGTCACTGCGGATCAGACAGAAGCCAATATCAAAATCGTACAAATTTTTAGAAAATAAATAAAATAATTGACATGTTTCAACCGATATTTGATAAATATTCATTTTACACATAAAAACCTATAAATTGTCTCAATTTTCACACAATTCATCAATAACCAAGGTCAGATCTTGTCGCAACAGAGATTTTGATTATCGAAGGACCGTTCTCAAGTATTTCAACATGTGTACAATGTCTACGACAATTTATAGATATTGAGTAAACTTCGTTGCGTCCATTTTAAAAACACTCAGTTTGGCGCCCTTTATTAATTGTGACAAGTTTATCAGAATGAACTACGTAAGCTTTGACGTCAAAATGGGCGGAGTTTTTTAAAACATTTCCAAAAATTCGTGTGTATTTGTTCCCTAAGAAGTTAGGAATGTTGGGTTTTTCAGTCGTTTAAAGAATATATAAGGACTTTTGGTTATGATTATAAAATTCATTCTGTGCGATTAGTATTATTTGTTGTTCGTGAATTTGTGAGATAAGAATACCAATTAAGATATTTACGGTCTATTTTAGAGAGGTTTTAAGGTTATGTTATTTATTGTATAATAATTAAAACTTTAATTATTTTTTACTGGATTTCAAGGTATTTTGTTGTTGTTTTTATAAGGGTTATTTCAAAATTAAACAATTAATTATTAAATGTATTTACGAAGTTAAAAAATATTTAACTTAATGTTTTATTATTTTCTAAGTGCCAATAATTTTATCTCCTAAAAGACCAAATATATTTGTTTTCTCGTAGTTTAAATAAGTAGTAGTAGTTTTGTTCTAATTACTGAAAAACTCAGTAATACTTGATTTCTTGCAGTCTATTACAGCATTCAAAAAACAATTTTTAACCACCCGTTATGGCAAACTGATAGAAAGGTTTCCACATAATGTTATGTTACAACTGAAACTACGAGAAAACGAATATCTTTAGTATTTTACAGGATATAATCTCTGGCAACGAAAAACGAATAAAACATAAATATAAATACTTTTTAACTTCGTAAATATAATGATTTATTGATTTAATTTGATATAACTCTGATAAAAACAAAAACAAAATACCTTGAAATACTGTAAAAAAAAATCATTTTTAATCAAAAAATAACATAACCTTAAAATATGAATATTAAGAGTAAATATCTTAATAATTTGATATTCTTATTTCACAATTTCACGAACATCAAACAATACAAATTGCACAGAATGAATGTTCATAACCAAAAGTCCTTATTTACTCTTCAAACAATTAAAAAAACGAATATTTCCAACTTCTTATGGGACAAATACACACAAAATAAAAATGTTTGGAAAGGTTTTCTAAGAGCCGTCCATTGTGACTGCAGACTTAGATAGTCCATAGCAGAGAACAATAACTAATATTTCGTCAACACCCCACTGAGTTAATCTCGAGCTTCGAACGTTTGATATCTGAGTTCAAAATGGGGCAATTACATTAAATCTGGTGTTGTGAAATTATTAATAGATTTCTTAAAAGTTTAAACAACGGTAAACTTTAGAGAAATTGCAGTTTACTAAATAATAATCGACAAAACAAAATTAATGAAGTTCTTTGTATGCAAGTTCATACAAAATAGATTGTGATAAGTAACCTACAGTTAACAGATCAAGCATCAGCACCTCCCACTTAAAATACACTTTCAAATCACAATTAAAATATAAAAATGCTCAAATTTGTTGATCCACTCATTATAAGAAAAATAAAAGAAATCGAAGTAGATGGAACGAAAATTTACTCGCTATTGTTTAAAGAACTTTTTTAATAATTAAAATGTACTGATCTATTTCTTGTGAAATAATAGCAACTTTCGAAGTTATTAAAAAGCCTCCATAATTCATTTTTTTTAGTGACGAGATGTGCCAAAATAAATTTTAAAGCCTACAAAACTTTCTTGTTGAACGAAGTAACTTAACATTCAATTAGCTTTTCATTGATTTTTCGAACCATCTACTTTTCTTTTTGGTGCCTCTCCTTTTACAACATTTCGTATTTTAAAATTCCCTCGTCGTCGGCCATTACCACTGTCTGTCGATGCTATCGTGGTTCTTCTTTCTTGTGTAGATCTGTAGGTGGCGTTACACTCATCTTGTGACTTTGAGGAGGCGGTGGACCAGGACCGGGTCCTGTTCTCAAGTGCATCAGCGCAGGATCCTTAAACAAGAAGTAAAATAGGGGATGTTAAAAAAACTTTATTAATTTAGTTTAAGAAGATAAAATTCATAAATATAAGTAAATATATAAATAAATAAGAAATTTTGCCTACTAATTTTTCCAACGTGGAGAACATTATGCCCCTTACTATGTATCTACTCTGTATCGGTTCAAAGAGATTACCTATTTGTTCTGATTTTGTAAATAAAGCAATGAATAAATTCGGCCTTCGTCGAAATACCATTGATATTTGTTTACTATCCAAAAATTTACATTTTAACCTTCCCAGAAGGAATCAGTTAGGATTTTCCAAATTCCTTTTAGAAATTTTTGGATCTCAAGCTTTTCAAGTAGTTTTTGTTTAGTTTCCTTTACAGAAAGTTGCTCGGTTTGTCAAAAATCCAATAACAAAGGGAAAACGAAAATAAGACATTCCAGAAATTCAACAATAAACAGATGAAAAGAAACAGAAACGTAAAGATGTTATTATCAAGAGAAGATTAACCATATATTAAAGTGCAACCAAGTGAAAAGAAAAAAACAAAAGACATAGTTGACATAGCCAAAAGAAAATAGTTTCAGAACCTCTTTGATTAAAAAAACATCTAAACTAATTACTTTATAGAGAAAAGTCATCCAGTAGAAAAAATTGCTATATAACTATTGAGTTTCTGACAAGACTGCAAGAGAAATAACTGTAATAAAAAATCGGGTTTATCAACAATACGCCATTCACTGGAAAACAGAAAATATTGTCCCGGAATCTTCTTAGATATCTCACATAGTCCGGCATAATGGCCTTTTAAACAAAATCAAAAAATCCCTTCCCAAGAGTTACTTCCAAATCCTAAAGTCCTACCTGCAAGACCGCCATTACCTTATAGAACATCACGATGAGTATACCAGACTTTACCCAATTATGGCTGGTATCTCTCAAGGCAGTGTTCTTGAACCAGTGCTGTACCAGAAGTCACAACAGCAACTTAATGACACTAAGACCACATAAAATACTTGCAAATGCATTTGGACCGCAGGCTCATATGGAGAAATCACATATTTACCAAGCGAAAACAGCTCGGCTTTAAACTCAGGAAACTATATTGCTGTTGGTTAATAGACCGGAAGACAAAACTGTCAATCGACAACAAAATTTTAGCATATAAAGTTGTTTTAAAACACATTTGAAACTATGGAATTCAGCTATGGGCAACAGCAGCTAAATCCAGTATTGACATTCTTGAAAGATTCCAATCGAATCGAAAGTCCTCCTAATGATAACTAATGCGCCATGGTACGTTCCAAACAAGACGATCGCACGAGACCTCAAAATCACAACTGTCAACGAAGAAGTCACTAAACTCTACCAACAATATGTTCAGAGACCATCCCAATACAACCAATCAACAAATCGGACGAAAACTCAAACGAAAGACCCCAGTCGACCTGTTAAACTAGTAGCAGAAGCCCAATAGAATCTAGAAGCAGAAGCCCAACCAAATCCTAAAAGATACGTAACACTATTCCAGTGTCAAGAATACACAGGAAGTTGCCAATTGACAATTTTCTACACGACGTGTAATGCTGCATTGTTTTTGAGATTCGTGGTCTGGAATTATTTCTTTCCAGCGTTTTATCTGTGTGGTGGTGTTCTTTATTTTTGTGCGTCTATAATTTTATGTGATTGCGATTTGGATTAGTTTAAAAGATCTTGTTATATGATGTACATCGTTTAAGTCGTTTGGTTGACTAATACCGACAAAATGAATAAGAGTGATCTTTTAAGTATACATAATTCCTAACTACCACAGACGTAAAAACCCCAAAAACTGTACACCATTACAAAAATAAGAAGTCCTACACTATTTAATAAAACAGTAATGTGTGAAACTATAATGTAAATAAAGATAGAAATGTAATTGAAAGTTTTAAGGTACTATTACCATATGGAATGATGAAAAAATGGCAAATTGTCAACATTGTTTGTGTTTCTTAGTTATTATATATTGCAATTCGACTTCTTTTATAAGTTTATACAACTTTTGAAGATTAGAAAAAAAATTCTTCTGTATTTTTTTCTATTGTTCGAGTATTTTAAATATGGCGCCAAAAATTTTTCGTCCAAAAATTACTGCTGCATGGAGGACAATAATTAATCTCTGGAACGGCAAATCTAAAATATAAAATTCGAGAAGGCTTTTAAAAAGGAAGTGCCTTTACATGGTAGTTTACCAGAAAAAATATTAAAAAAAATTCTTACAAAAAAAAAACAAAATGACGGGCATTTGAAACATTGTTCAAATATTGACCTTTTCTTCAACTGTTTTAATCAAAAAAGTTTTATTATCTGTTTTTTGATCATATTGTAGTAAAGCTTCATACAGAAAAAAAAAACAAAAAAGTTTATTAAAATCGACCAACTAGATCCGGCGATTAGATTTGAAAAAAAAAAAACGATGTTTTTAAAACTGGCGGAGTTATCTCCGGATCTAATCGATCAATTTTAATAAAACTAGATGCATTTTGTTTGTTTTGGTTTTTACTATGATAGTTGACTACAATTTTACCAAAAAAAGTAATAACAAAATTTTTGTGACTGAAAAAAGTTTTTTGAATGTCCGCCATTTTGCTTTTTTTTTAATTTTTCTGGTAATCTATTACGTAAGGATACTTCTTTTTTTAAAACCCTTTATAAATTTTATATTTCAGCTTTGCCGTTCCACAGATTCACTCTCCGCCATGGAGCAGTATTTTTTGGACGAAAAATTTTTGGCTCCATCTTTAAAATACAGAAGCAACGAAAAAAAGGAAAAAATTGTAATTTTCAAAAGTTGTATCTTGTTTGATTGTCATAAAAAAATTCAATTTTTTTTATCATTCCAGGCGGTTATAGTCCCTTATATAGTGCGAAAAATATGTATTTTTAAGACACTATCACTCACTTTAGGCCTCAACTGGCTGGGATGATGCGGTGCTCCATACGCCCCAAAGAAAGACGCCCTTTCCCTTTCTTCTTGTGCTCTCATAGCGTCCACAATAGGGTTGTAAGTGTATCTGTAGAACGGATCCGCATGGGGTGCGCCCCAATGAGTCGTCGGCGTGTGATAAGGATGAGGGGGCAGCGCGTGGGGCATCATCCTCGTGCGATCCAGTATAGACGCTGGTCCAGGCGGCGGCGGGGGTAATGATCCTGGGTGTCTCAGGAACGGGTTGTACCTGTAAGTAAAACTTCATTTGAAGTTTGTGAAAAGTTCTTGCATTTTCATAATCTTAGCTAGACAAGTCGCTTTCTCTCACCCTCTACTGTACTACTCACCAAAAATAAACTGTACTAAAAACTCTGTACTCTACTGTAAACTCAACCATGTATAGAAAAAAAATAACAAAAGTGGTTCTATAAGCTTCTAAAAAATTTTATGGTGGGTATTACATAATTAGCGAGATATCTAACAAAGATACTAATATTATGTTTTCACTTAATATAGACTTTCAATTGACAAAAATCACAATCGTATCCCCCCCCCCAGTCTTCCCTCCACATTGTGTATGAACGCCCATCATAGCGTTACGCTGAACGATAAAAAGGATTGTTTCCGATCCAATTAAGTAAAATTGTCTTTCAAAATAAAAGATTTAATATGCCGACTGTTTACACAACTGCAGCAAGAGTACAAGTAGTTAATAAAATGGTACTTTTGGGTGCCACTCTGTACAAGAGGCTATTAATTTATTTATTACAGTTTTTGGAAATGGGCCAATACTTGTAGAAAAGATTGTATTAACACTCTGTACTCTTATCAATTTGAAAAGATTGGCTGTACTAATGATTCAAGATTCGACAAGAAATATTTCCTGATGATACTTTTAAGGGGATGGAATTCTATGAAATTATCATGAGAAATGCAATGAAAAAAAAATTAAAGAATGTTTTGTTTATTACAGATGATCCATTCTTCACAAATCACAAGAACCATAATCCATCCGTTGTACGTTATTGTTATCAGAAAAATAAGATTTGAATGTGTGTGTTGATGTGTTTGGATTAGAACTTTCGAATATCATATTATTGGTCCTTTTTTCATCGAACGAAATCTAAACGCGTAAAATATCTTCAATTACTGCGAAATCAAATTATTACTGCACTTCAACATCTTCAAGTCAACTTAAACGAAATTTTGTTTCAATAAGACGCCTATCCTTCACATAATTGACAAGCCTTTAGAGACTATTTAGCTCACCTAGATTTTTATTTTTGAGGGATGCTAAAAATCAGTTTATACAGGCATGCATTCGAGCGTGCCACCAACTTGGAGCAACTGAGAAAAGATAATCGGATTTAGCCAAAACGTGGCAAAAGAATTCAACTCCATGAGAAAGGCGTTGTATAATAGATTTATTTTCTGTTTATCTAATTGTTTGGAATTATTTTTAATTTAAGCAGAAGTATTGGAATCAGTTTTTATTTTATTTCATTTATAGAAATTATTTTATTTTTACACCTAATACTTCTAAAAAATCTGAACAAAAATATAGTTTCAAAGATATTATTTGGAAAATTCCAAATATCTTATTTTAAATAAAAAGGCGTAATTTTTCGCACATTTAATATTAATTGACTACATCTTCCCGTGAATGATCAGTTATAACTGAATTAAAATTCACTTTTAGTAACACAACTATAGAATTCTTGGCAGCGCCTAACAAACCAAGGTTTCTATTGGAATAAACCAAAATTTGACGTTAAAATAAGTTTATTTTGACGTTTAGATTTCCACTTCGGAAATTGGTCTCCAAATACAAAACATTAATAAATTTTATTTAATAATGTTTTTTATATATATATATATATACTGTATTATTTATTTATTATTATATATATATATATATATATATATATATATATATATATATATATATATATATATATATATATATAGATATTTTGAAAACGACTTCCGAAGTGGAAACCAAAACATCAAAAAACTTATTTTAAAGTAAAATTGTGGCTTATTCTCAATAAAAATAGTAAGCTGCCATTCAAATCAATTCCCCAAATGCGTCTAATTCTTCGACCAGCATATTTCTTATTGGGCATTTGAAGTCGCCATAGAAGCGAGCCTAGACAAATATACATTCCCCCAAACGAACCACATTCTTTTTAGTACCGGCTACTATCTTACCCTGTCTGACTGTCAACCTCACCCAATGAAAGATATATTCTTTACTACACATATGAAAAATAATAGTATTTTAATATCATACCTTGGGTCCGATCTAGCCATTATATCCTCCTCTTTGATTCTAGGTTCTTCTTTGACTCTGATTTCGGATAAATCTCCATTCCTTAATGGAGATCTGTCTCGTATTAACGGTGCTTGCATCTTAGCGGTCTCTGCAAGTCGTTGTTCTTGCATTAATCTCTCTCTTTCTCGTTCTCTTTGTCGTTCTAGTTCTCTCCTTTCCATTTCTCTCTTTTCTCTTTCCTTTCGTTCTCTTTCACGCTGTTCTTGTTGCTGAAACACAAAATATACAATAGGTAACCGCTCATAAATAGTAAATATACATTATAACGAAGAGGAATAAAAAAAGAATATTATCAAATTAAAGAAAGTCACTCGGGAAGTTCTTCTTCTTCTTCTTCTTCTTCTTCAGCCTGTGTTCGTCCACTGCTGGACATAGGTCTCTTCCATTTGCTTCCATCGATTTCTACTTTTGGCAATTCTCATCCACTGCTTGCCCGCGACTTGTTTGATATCGTCTGTCTATCTCTTCTGCGGTCTGCCTACTCCTCGCCCGTTCTCTCTTGGTCTCCAGTTTGTTAATCTTTGTGTCCATTTTTCGGGATTATCTCGGGCAACGTGTCCGACCCATTGCCACTTGAGCCTTGCAATACGTTCTGAGACATCAGTAATTTTTGTTCTTTCACGAATGACGTTATTTCGAATCCTGTCTCTCAAACTAATCCCTAGCATGGCCCTCTCCATTGCTCTTTGGGTTGTACTGAGCTGCTCAGCGGGAAGTTCTATAGCTCACTAATATGGACCCTAATGGATGAGTCATAAAACGTCAAAGAAAGGGATGCGAAATGCACTAGAAGATCTAAAGTGAGATAACCATGAAATAAAATTTACTAAAAATTGATTAAAACAATTTAAAAAGCATCAATTCATGATGATCATTTAAGATGATTTCAACAGAAACTAAGAAATCTGTAAATAATAAGTCTGAAATAATGCCATCAATGGACAAAAGATTTAAATGGGCTGATACAATCAAAAACACGAGATCATCATCATAGGTGACTCGACAATCCGTTGTGGATCTTGGCCTGCTCACAAAGAAGTCGCCACTCCTGTCGAGTCCTGGCAACTTCCTTCCATCTTCTAACCCTTAGAATCTGTAGATCTTCTTCCACATCATCAATCCATCTCATTCGTGGTCGTCCTCTGCTTCTTGTGCCCTCTGGTTTTGAAAATGTTAATCTCTTCGTGTATTTTAGACCATTTTCATTTACGGCTCCAAAAATCTTTCTAAGAGTTTTTCTCTCAAAAATACCAAGAAGTCATTTTAATATAAGGTCACAACATATAGAAAGAGAAATTGATGGCAGGGGTTTACCAAATGGGGTGTAGGGTTGTGTTATAGAGGTAGTACCTTTTATCGGAACGACCACATCGAGCGTCATAGACGGGAGATGGTTCTTGATTACTGGTCCTCATAAGACACCCAACTCTCACTTATGGCTCCACGTGCCAACCCTGGGCAACTGCATTGGTCTGCAGGCTAAACTAAGTGAGGGTAACCTGATATGGTGAACCCAGAATGGGCGGTTGCAAACGGCGTCTGTTCCATAGTGGGCGGCTAAAATCTAAGACCTTAAGCGGCATGAAGGAAGGCAACGCGATACCACCTTCATTATATTTCCCAAGACAATCACATGAATACATTCAACTCAAAATTATCCGGAGGTATAAATAGTTCCCTAATCGGATCTCCGGGGGGAGCGGTCTTGAATATTTCAAACGTACGAGCAAACTTAAGAAAGACATTAAAGATAGGCACCTGGAATACACGCAGCTTATTTGAAGCCGGGAAGCTGGCTAACCTAACTCAAGAAATGAGCAGATTTGATCTAGATATCCTTGGGATCTCAGAAACCTGGTGGCCTGGATCCGGTAAATGCACTACAGAAAGCGGAACATTCATTGAAGGCAAGAGAGGAATGGGACGCAAGAAAATGTCCTGGCTCCGAAACTTAAGGCAAAGGACAGGGATTAACGACATACAATCTCTGATACATATTTCAAGAAATAGAGAATTAATGGAAAATGTGATCGCTAACATCCATTAGTGGATTTGCATCTGAAGAAGAAGTTTACCAAATAGCCCGATACCATGAAATACACACGAAGAGGAAAACTTGATGCAAATTTCGTATTGCATTTTTTTTACTGATAACTCCAATTATAGTATTATCATCTTTCTAAGAGACTCATTAATATTCAGTTCAGCAAGGTGCTAATGTTCGAAGTGTGGAATTTCATAATCAAGGAATCTACCTGTTTTACGGAATTTCTCACCTCGAAAGTACTATACTAGCAAAATGCAAAACATATTATACACAAAAATACGTTACCTGTTGTTCCAGTCTTCTTTGCTTCTCTTCCCTTTCTCTCCTCTCCCTCTCTTCTCTTTCCCTCCTTAGTCTTTCCCTCTCCCTTTCCTCTCTTTCCCTCGCTTCCCTTTCTCTTTGTTCCAAGATGGGATCGGGCTTCATGGTCCACGGTGCTGGCGGAGCCGGACCCAAACCTGGCAATGTTGGAGGAAGGGGATTTACTGTCGGTGGGAAAGTTGGTATTGTACGCTGTAAAGAACGCCAGGGATCGTGATGAAGTGGTCCTAATCCTAAGTGGCTCTCCCTGGCAAACGGAGACATGGTGAATGGAGATGTTGAAGCGGCACCCAATGGGCCTGCGCCGTAACGGGTGAATGGTGACATTGCTGAACTGGCAGTAAAGGGTGATTTACCTAAAAAATAAGTGAACATTAAGCAAAACAATAATGTTGACATTTCGTGGAAATCTATACTTTGTAGATAATAAAAATACTGTCTAATTATTTAGCTAACTACAAAATCCAGTACAATAGTTTATTACAGAAACAAAATTGAAACGGTATGTTCATTTTCAATATTTCATTCAAATCAAAATTTAAACCACAAAAATTTAGGACCAATTTGGACAAGTTTATCTATTTCCCTCTAGATTTGAATAATGTATAAAAATGATAGTTTTCATATTTCTTACACAATATGTCACTAGATTGAAACCTCAATAAAAACTAAAACATGAAGTAGTTCAATCAATGAACAAAAGTATGCTCTTGCAAACACAAATAAAGACAGAAGAATAACGAGGAAATGCTAAGGTGGAAGGTGTAAGATTGAAAATCTAAAAGGAATACAGAAACTGTGCATTGAATGTTTCAGAGAGACTTAAAGGGGCCACCTCAAATAGTATAGTAAACACTAAGGCAGGTAAGAGTCGGGAGCGTCTCATAAAAGAAGAAAACTTACTTTATGGCGCCCAACGTGGGGCAGGCTATAATTAATCATAAAGAATGCATTCTAGGACATTATTTATGATTCACAAGCAATCAAAATTAAAAAAAAAGAAAAACAAAATTATTTTAATAATAAAATATATGATAAATGTAAGAGCGCACTATCTTGAGAAGAAAAAGGTAAAATAACAAAGAAAAACATTGAGAAAAGCTAGAACCAACTGGACCTGTGGTTCCATTAAAAGAAGATATAACGTTCAAATTTAAATTGTAAGTAGACGAGATTATATAGTTGGGTTGATTGATTGTATTTGGAGTTTACCGAAATATCAAGCGAAAGAAAGGATATTTACTTTGTATGATGATAGTCATGTAAATCAAGATTTAAAATGACTATACCTTTCGGAAAGTAGAATAACAAAAAATCCAAAAGCAGCAACCATGTAATACCTGGGAAATTTTGTTCCGGGTAGAGAGAAAAGAGTGTTAAACAATGTTAAAAAAAAGATGAAAACTATAATTTGTACTCAAAAAACAAACATTTATGATCTTTGGTACAGTTATAATATTATTTAGATTTATTTTTTTCTTATGCATATGACAGAAAAATTCTCTAGTCATATTTCAGTGGTGCGTACTGTTTAGGATGCAATAGTGAGCACTACGAATATTTTTATGTCTAACAAAGTTTTAGGTTTCGATATACTTTTTTTGGCATACTTACTAATGAAAGGCTTACCCAAATGTCCAGCGGGCGACGAAAACAACGACCCTGGATGATGTGGCTGATCAAAACCAGGCGGCCGATGATTTGACAAAGACATCGGGAACGGTGAAAGCTCGTGGGGCGGTCTGGAATGAACGCTCGGCGAGAAGAGATGTGTTGGCGGCCTTAACATATCCGCTGAAGATTTGGCGGCTGCCGTAGCCGAAGCTAGACTACCTTTGGCCTCTCCACTCTTTTGTTGGTGATGGTAAATCTCCCACGCTACACGTACATGCATAGCATTCCATTTGCCGGTTTTCTAGAAAATAAAATCATATTAGCAAATTATATTTTATAATAATTTAAAAATGAATTCGTGTTTTGATGATTTCAATATGGAAAAGTTTACATACCACAATTTTAGGCTTGTTTGGATCTTGAGGGTTCATCGACTGTGGACAAAGAAAGCGTATGTTAGGGGTAGTAGCAGAGCACATGCTTTAAATTACAGCACAATGGTTGGTTTATCACATTTTCATGCGAGACATGATGTGAATAAAATTTTTAAAAAATATTTATTTGAAACTGAATTTGAGATATTTATTCTTAACTTTTAAGTACTAGGTAACTAGGTATATCTTTTCAGTGATAGGTGGGAATTGATCAGTCCTTAACGCAAAATTATAGAATTCTTTGATTATTGTAATTCTAATTAGATCGAGACTAGACGACTTCTTGGTTCAGTTTGTTGTTGATGGTTTATTAACTTAACTTAATTTAAAAGTCTCAAGCGGTTGTTCAATTTCATCAGTGATAGGTGGGAATTTATGAGTCCTTAACACAAAATTATAGAATTCTTGAAGTATTGTTGTTGTAATTAGTTCGAGACCAGACGACTTCTTTGATTCAGTGAAAGTCTCAAGCGGTTGTTCAATCTGATACAGGTTTTACAAAAAGTTGTGAATTTTCTAGTCGTCCTTAGAGTTTTGTTGGTACGGATACGGTTGGCAAAAGGTCTAGTAAGATGACATGTTTTAGAAAGTTTCGTCCTTTTCCTGATTTTTTAGCAAAATTTCCGTTTTCTTTGCGAATTAGACGACTTAGGGGTTGGGATCTATTATTATTTTTTAGTAACCTTCCAGACCGGGTAGTCTGTCACAGTTAGATTTTTTAAATAGTTGTTGTCTCTTTTTTGTGATTGTTAAAATTTTTTTTCATTTTCACCATTGCCTCTTAAATAAGACAAAAATCTAAGATCTAAGCTTCTTTATACGTCAAATAATATCAAGCAATAGCGAATGTGCTTTAAATTACTGACTTTCCTTTAAATGTTCTACTTACTATTTCCACTCCACTTTCATAAAAAAAGAAAAAAATTTGTAAAAAAAAGATCATTGAGCAATTACTAAATCAGAAAAAGTGAATTGCTGATATTTTAAACATTTTAAAGTGATTTCCTTTGTATGAATATACTATTACCAAACTGCAGGTGTTTTTAATCCTGATAAAGGTTGTATAAATAATTTTTTTCACTTGATAAGTCCTCAATCTGTTACCAACCTGAGATTCTATTTGCTTTATGTAGGTTCTGAAATCTATGATGAACTTTGTTCGTCGATTTAAATTGTGATCAATATACATCTCATCAAGTTTCTTGTTTGTGAACTCTTGAGATCAATTTCCGAAATATTTATGCAGACTATGGATTAATTGCGGATACTACGGACTATTGAAAATAAAACACTTCAAATAAGAGTGGAATATCGGTTTTAATGTAATAATGATATCTAGACTACTCTTACTGATGGCATATTATACTACTTTAATGTATGTATTAATTCGGTTTATTAAGATAGTAGCAGACATGTCTTGTATGAAAATATCAATTAATATGAACTTATTACAAAGCAGTTTAAAATTAAAATGTGACCATTATGCATTTCTATTCATTTCTATAAGTTTGACTTAAATAGGAGTGTAACCTGTTAAGTTAATGACATAATACTTGAGAAAAGAAACGTAAATGTATATTTCAATTCTCAATTAATTACATAGACAAGTTAGTATAATATAAAGACAATGATAGAAAGCTCCAATGATAAATTCAATAAAATGAATTAATTAACTAAACCAAAATTACTTAAGTAAAAAATTACATTATTTATGTAAAATATAAATCCACAATTCCATAAATAAAATAAAGGATATAAAGACACAACATGTACATTTCCGATATTTCTGCATTTTGCTCTTATTTCATCTGACTTTCAACGGTGTCAATAGAAGAAGAAAAATCGGTGGCAGATCTTTAAAACAGCGGATATTGAGGCAAGTAAAAAGTGCTTGTAACAATAAGATACAAGGAAAATCATGAAATTTCGTAATTAAGGTCTGGGGACAGACATATTCAATGAAGAACTATCAGTAAAAGCATATTTAAACCCGAAGCATGTTTTATGTTCAGCGATATGCGGTCAATGAGATGCTTTTATAAACGAAATAAATAAAATCGACTAAATTTGTAACCGATTTACTAATTCTCCTAAACTTACAATTCGACTGTGTAAAATTCCGATTAAATTATATATGTAGCTTTATGAATGAATTATTTTGTTTAAGGTAGGTTAGGTTAGGTGAGCTAACACAACTGCATGTTCTATTCTCATAACGATTCCGTTTTCTACTTTTTTATTTCTAATAAATAATTGCAAAAACTTTCAAGATTTTTTCTAAATTGTTAGCTCAATAAAATTTTTTTGAAAACAATTAAAGTAAAAAAGAAGTAAGAAAGTCTCAGAGCTGGATAGTAGTAGAAATCGATTCACTTGAATGTCTACTAATATATTATTAGGCCTAGTAAAGACTGAAACATGTAATAGTGAGAACAAACGAATAAACTTTTAGAGACAAAAAAGAGCCAGTCGTTCCTTTTGGCATACTATGCTACCCTCTATAAATAAGTGTCCCAGACTAAACGTTAAATTATTGCTGAAGAATTTAAAAAAAAAAGTATAAACTTTCTGATCTATGAATATTTTCGATATTTAAATCGGAACATAACCTCAAACAAATAAAGGCGTGACGTCACTCTAATATGGTATCACAACGATGGTTGTAATTAGCGTTAAACATATTGATCGGTCAAAATACCAATTAAACACAAAATGTCAGTACCGCACAGGTTTAGCGGTCAATGGGACTAAAGAGTATTCTGTTAAGGTACACAGTACCTTAGACAGTAGATAACTGTCAAAGTACAAATCTACAGTACACTTAAAACGGCACTCAATGGAAAAACAATACATCAAAAAGAAACAGTGGCACATTGAGACTGTGTTTTGAATTATTTACATTTGCAAAGTTGAGGATACACCACAATGTTAGAAACATGTCTGAATTTAGAGAGATTGTGTATATTCATCATATTCATGGTTCAAAATTTAATGTAATTTAAATAACTACACGTACACATTCTTAAAATAAAACATTTTTGGGCGTTGTTGGCTTCGGAATCTATGTCCATTGGCCACGAATACAATATACATATTGCCAAACTGTTGGTATTATAGGATATGAGGTCACAGGACACGAACTTATGACAGTTATTGCTTTATGAAAACTATGCTCAGATTGTACACAAACAGTTACAAATGATTTAATGTTTGCTGAAGAGGTTACGGGGCTCAAATAAAACTACAGTTACGTGGCACAACTTGGAACCATAGTTTAATAGAGTATTCATTAGCCTTTAGACCGGTAACCACTAATATAATGTAAGATTGATGAATACAGACATTTCCACAAAGACAATGACATATACAGGTATATCCTGTAAATAATGTCTGAGTAGATAAATATCTGATTATACAAGCATACATAGTTTATTATGCAATAACAAAGCTAAAGGATGGTGTGAAGTTTCAATTTATTTAATTCTAAAAGTTTTAACGAAACTGTACTTGAGTTGCCCTTTACAAAATTTAATTAGCTTTGGCCTATAATTAAGTTGAACTGTTAAGGTTTTCTCAGGGGAACTAATACTATGAATATAACCGTATATTCCACCCCTTCTTTTAATTACCTTTGGCCAGAAGTTATTAAAAGAAATAATATAACTTTTCTTCGCTCAATCAATTTTTAGCCTCCTATCAAGATGCATTTTGACGTTAATATTGTTTAGTTGTGATGGAGAATTCACATATTATGATGTGGTAAGTTGGTCATTAGTCAAAATCACGTATTACAATCAACAATATGGATTCAATATAAACATAAAGAAGACAAAGCTCATGATAATTAGCAATAAAAAGAAAATTAGTCACAAATAAAAGGTTCTCAGAAGAACGAAGAAGAACCGTGAGGTACTGAACACCATAAAATCTCGAAAACTGCAACACAATGCGAAATAAATATAGATATGTCCTCTTACAAGCCATCTTATAAGAAAAAATATTTGAAAAGCGAGGTCCAGAAAAAAGAACATCCTGGTTAACGAACCTCAGATCCTGGTCACGGATAGGCACATCAAAAAGAAGAAGAGTATACAATTCTGGAAAGACCATAAACAAGATCGATTAAAGACTCACAATGAACACCAGAAAATTTAATGCCATAAGCTTCACAGAGGATGATCGGTATACACTGAAAACGGCATAAGTTCCGTACTCAACGTTGGAAACTATTAGATGATGTTGTGACAAGTTGTGTTGTTGTGTTGTGATGTTGAAAAAAGGTGACAGAGTTGTATATGAACTAGTACAGATAAACAATCGACGGACGACACGACAGTTCGTCAGGTGTCAGGTGTATGCTATCACCATTATTTTGCAACTTTTATTAGAAGTATTAGAAGTTATCAGTGAAGTGTTCAGATTTTTAAAGCAAGTTCTATTGAGTAAGCAAATTTGCGTGACTGCAAGAATACCTTTTTACATTTAATTAAATAACTAGAATCAACTAGGACTCCGTTAAGGAGTACCATTCCAAATAATACCTGCTTTAGCGTTAATACACAAGAACATGTCGACAACTGTCAATAATAAAGCAATTAAACAATTACACCATTTCGTAATTATACTTTATTTTATCAGAATTAAACTATGCTCAATAAATAATTGTATTAATAATTAAAGTGATAGCACATGTATCATTTTCATTAAATAAATTGAAATTATTAATGAACACGAAATGAACACAGGCCTTAATTTAAATTTATTATGATTTTTCAGCGAAACTAATGATTTTGATAAACGTAAATTGAGCTTATAAAAATATTTTTATTAATAGCGGAAAATACAGAGGTAGTTCTGGAAATTAATAGTAAAATGAAAATCACTGGTGATGATATGTTCTGCTCACACGAGCACAACGCCACAAATGGAGAGATCGTGTCGACATAATTGATCTAGGTAAAATCGTGAGGGCAAATGGGCAAAAATATAACCTCAATACA